TTGTTGAATGACATGTAGAAAATAATGCTTTCAATTATCACACTTTTGGCACATTTCAGTATGACACATTTTATGGCTATACTATACAGATATGGATATGCACTACACAGATATGCATTGAAACTATAAATAAATCCATAAGAATGAAAACAGCAAAATGAAGGCTAGTGGTTATTGCTGAGGGGATTGAGTATACAATGATCACAAAAATATTACCAATTTTTCTTCCCATACTGTGTTGATGCTCTTTTGCAATGTGACTTTTGTAGTACTTTTCATTGAAATGTGGAGCGTATTCCCACACTTCTTGAAAATGGGGTTGCTTTGTGACTTGTTTTAACCAGTAGAATGTGGTGGAACTGATAGTGAGTCAATTCTGAGTCCAGGCTTCAAGGGTCATTGTGTGGTTATACTCTCTCTTTTCCAACCCTGCTACTGGCATGTGAATAAATCTGGTCTAGCCTCCTGGAGGATGAGTGAAGAAAAGTCCAGGTGTCCAAGCTGAGGTGATCCTACTCCAATCTATAGCCAGCCAACCTCCAACCACATGAGAGAGACTAGCCAAGATAATCAGAGCTGCCTACTTGACCTACTGAAGTTGGTCTGAAGACTCACGAATGAGCACAGGTAGGACCAGAATTGCTGAGGTGACCCACAGAGTCGTGAAGAAGAATAAATGCTACTCTTTCAGCCACTGTTTTAGAGTGGCTTTTTACTCAGAATAGCTGGTATGAGGAGGGAGAAGAGAATTGGGAAGGGGCAAAAGAGAGAAGGGTTCAACTGCCCCTTTGATGTTTTATGTATTAAAAAAGGAGAGACCTGAAGCAAATGTAGTAAAATGTTAAAATCTAACAGATATAGATAGTAGTAGATACATGAGTATATAATCCTTCCAACTTTCTGTATGTTTGAAGTATGTCAATAAAATAGTAAAATAAAATTTAGATAGAAGAGTAAATGCATCAGTGTGATACACTACACAAGATACCCAATGTGACTATAAGAAAGAGCAGAGATGTACTTTTCCTATTGCCTTCCCCTCTGTCACACAAAGTAGACTAAGTACACTAGTGGTTTCTGGGTTCTAATCCTCTTTTCTCATCTCCAGGACATCTTCCTTGTACCTTCCTAGCATTTAATCCTTTTTGCCAGCATTTAATTATCCGGCCTGTTAATCATTTGTAAGACAGCAAACATCTGAGCAGTTCACGGACAAGATAGTCACAAGACATGAAGCTGTATACAGGAGGATTTGTGCCTGACCTACTGAAAGTGACAAGGGCTCCCAGGGGATACCCACTTAACGCCAGAGAGAGGCAGGTCTAAGCAGTCCAGGGGTTCACATCCCTTTTGGCCCACTGCACTTCTCGTGCTTCTATTTGGACTTCCGCTGGACTCCATGTACACCTTCCTCTGCATTGACGGCGCACCCTTACTATGCCCTGGCAGGTACTGTGAGTTATACAATGTGTTCTTTTCCCAACGCAGACAGGCTGTAAACTCCTTGAGGACACAGTGTTTTAAGCAACTTAGTATCCTTACTATCTAGTGAAAGGAAGGAAGGAGAGGAGAAAGGTCAGACAGGAAGGAAGAAAGGAAGGGGAGACAGGAAGCAATGAGGGAAGGAAGGAGAATGAATAGCGGCAAATATTTATAGAATGACTATATGCCAGGTAGTGTGCACTTTCTTATTTAATCCTTCCAACTACTCAGCGAGGTAGATACTATTACTAATTTTTCCTAGCTTGAGGAAACATGTTTACAAGGCTTAGGTAATATGCCCAATAAATCAGGGAGTCCACACTTGAACCAGGTTTGTTTAACTCTAGGGACTGTGTTCCCCTCAGATGTTATACTGTTGCTGAGTAGAGAGTTTTGAGCACAGATTTGCTGATAACAAGAAACCAGAATTCATTATGAAGAAAGAGGAGAGCATAGAAAGCAGGAGAGTAAGAGGGAGGGACAGACCCACCAATACATGCTCCTGCAGATGTTATACCTAACCTGTGTCAGCACGGTTTCTGTTTTGTTTTGTTTTTTAAATCCTCACCAGAGGATACTTTTTCCATTGCTTTTTCAGAGAGAGTGGAGGGGATGGAAGGAGGAAGGGAGGGAGGGAGGAAGGAAGGAAGGAAGGCAGGAAGGAAGGAAGGAAGGAAGGAAGGAA